TACAGCCCAAGTGGCTTTGTGGACTGCTATGATGGAGGTGAGCTTAAAGAAGGAGAGTGGCGCAATGTGGTAGAAGGTGACAACGGCATGGGAGCATTACAGGCAAATCATGCTAATAACTATTCATTTGATGCTAAAATGATCAGAGACAATCTGCGTGAATACGTAAACTCTGTAGATGGGTCAGTAGCATGGCAAAATGAAACAGTTTCCTATTGTGGGCGAAAGACATAGTCTTTCATCCATCTCATGGATTTCCAGATGGAACATGAACACTCGTTAAGTAAATTACTGTATAGTTTCTTTTTATGACAGATTACATACATTTTGACTTAAATTGATAAATCAAAACCATATGGCAGTTTATTATATTTATTTATACTTATTTTTTTTTAAAGATCATCAGAGATGGGCAGAAAAAATAACATTTTATTGGTGAATGTAAACTGTATATACAGTAATTAAGAAGAAATATACATATCTTATTTTTAAGATATTGAGGCAGCAGTGGGCATAATCAGAATTTAAAAAAAAAATCTTTTCTGAAATGTTCGTGACAGGAGTGTGCTAATTTGCCACTAAAGTTTTATGTTTATTCGAAACCATTATTAGAGCAGTTGATACAAATGGGTTTGCTAAAAAAAAAAGGCTAAATCTGCTTTGCAAAAATTTATATATATAAGATTAAATGGTACTACTTGATCCATATTAGGATCGGAGTGTTAGCTGTCTCTTATACACATCTAGATGTGTATAAGAGACAGATTTACAATACATCTTTTTGTTTGTATTTTTCTGAACGGTAGTGGTTCTCCGTCTTTAGTGATTGCTTTAGAGATTTAATTAAATTTATTAACAAAACCTGCCCTACGACTGTTTTATATTTTGAATGCCTTGACAATACAATAATAAGAATAATAGAGAAGAACCGCAATTGCCATTTAGGAAACATAATTCTTATATTCATATATGTTAAAACGCAAGACGTCTGGATATTTAGGAAACATAATTCTTATATTCATATATGTTAAAACGCAAGACGTCTGGATATTTCATCTACAATTTTTGGCTCACATGATTGTTTTAGTGTTCCCATGCGTGAATTCAAGTTATTCTTATTTAGACTTAACCTACGCACTTTCAAAAGTTCCGGAAAACATTGTAATCTTGCCATCCTTGAGGTTATAGAGACTCTCATTCGGCGGAAATGGGCCTGCCTGCTCTGCACTGATGACTTAGATAACACGATCTTCAACTATCATCCCACAAATTCACAGCACAGAAAAACAATAGTCCTATATATTATTGGTAGTCGGTTTCTTAGTCGGTAGTCGGTTTGGTAGTCTAACTTATATTTTTATTGTAATAATTATCTCAGATTGAGAGATGAAATCAAATGATGTTGAAAATTAAATTTTCATAATAATAATAATAATAATAATTATTATTATTATTATTATTATTATTATTATTATTATTATTATTTTTATTATTATTATTTGTATAACCATTCTGTAGATGACATTAAATTTGTAATAATAGCTACAGGTTTTTAATCTCCAACGTCTTCAAATTAAACACTCATTAATTTGTTATAAATATAGATTTTGGCTTTATTAACGAATACTCCTTTACGAAATAACCTATCAGTTTAATCATGCATATTTCTATTAATCGCTGTGCTATGTCGACACTTTTTTATGTACTCCACAATGTTTATTAAGGTCGAGTTTTAGATGTTCCACCCTACTGCTTAGTGGTTAATTTATTCATATATTATAAGCTGTCATAATTAAGTGCCTATTATTTTTGGATTCAAATTTGCTAGAATTATCAGATGAGATCTATTTCGATGTGTTTGCGTCAGGAAAATATCATAGGAGCTGTTAACCTGGCGTGTTATCGTACTGAATACGAAGTACGTTCCCAAATACTTGCGAAAAACTCGGGTGGGAATCGAACTCACGACCTTCAGATAACTATCCTGGCGTCATAACAACTAGACCACTGAGTTTGCGCTTGGTGATCTGTTTGTATTTCTTAATCATACGACTAGAGCTTAGGAAGGACGAAGGTGGGTCTAAAATATTCGTCCGAAATAAGTGTTATGGTAAATAAAAAGTTATTATTATTTTATTTGTTTATATATACATGAAAAAATAGGTAAATTATATATAGGCCTATATATATATATATATATA